CTGAAATGACAAAAAAAGACAAACACTGTCTGACACCGTTTGAAAATTTACCTTCCGATGTAAGAAAAATTTTTGCTTGAATATTTTCTCGTCATATTTTCTTATTGTATTGTCTTTTTAGCATACAGTGTAATTTTCAGTTGGCTTTTCCTAGTTTTAAGTTGTAAGTAACAACGAACTCACTGTAGTAAAGTTTCAGCTGTAAAAAATAACCTTTTGCGAAGAGTTGGCCTCGTGTGTTGTTTGTCGTGATGTTGTTTATATGTGTATGCTTTTGTAATTTGTATTTAAATTTATATTGGCCGTGTATGTTTGGCACTCAGGGGAATGAAACTGACGTACAAACCGCGTGAATATTCGACTTTGAAGGACTGGAACTGACGTACAAACCGCGCAAGAGACTAAGACTTTGGCTTCAATTTTATATGTATAAATTGTATTGTCGTTTTCATACCAGATATATATATATATATATGTATGAAGTTCACTGGTCCAGTGTTTAGAATTATAAATTAGCAACAATAAAACGCGTGCGCTGACTGGCCTTTAGCCGTGTTTGCGTTAGCCTGTGCAAAACAGATCTGGGGCCGGTTGTATAAAGCTCTTAACTACTTTTTAACTACACTTTTTGCAGTTAAAAAGTAGTTAAATTTAACCACGCGGTTAAGTCAGTTGTATAAAAAAGTAGTTAGCGCTAAATGCAGTTAAAAGGTAGTTAAAGTTAACTATGCTATGGAGCATAGTTAACTTTTTAAAACACAGTTAAATATGGCGGCTTACCTTCTCAAAGACAATTATGGGTGAGATGTTGTTGATCAACAAGGTTTTACCTTGAGTTTTTAATCACATATGTATCTTCCATGGCAAAGGCTTTTAGAATAAGAGCTTTATGGACAATGTACTACATTCGTCAGTGCTGTAAAACATCCCAAGTTTTGCTGACGAAAAATAGCCAACAATTTATCCACGTAACAAATCCTTTTTTACCCAAGAGCAATTGCATTTTGTATTATCTTTCCTTGCGTCCGTTAGCTCTTTGCAACTCATAAGCGAGACTTTCAATTGAGATAGAGCCACTTCTTTAAGATTAGTGCACATAACTCGCTGACATTGTCTTACAAATACGTACAATTCGTTCAATGACAAAAAAAAAAACAAAGAATGTTATTCGAGCAATGAATCCTATAGCCTTGGATGTATCAAATATTCAAATTGCGGGTTTTTCCCTATGCATTTTGCTTAATTGAATATCATATGCATCATATAAACTCATTGCTCTATGGAAAATAAGCTAGATTATGTTAAAACAAATAGATACTACAGTATAAATGTTGTTCTAAGTATACCAATCATAATACATATAGATACATGACCTTTACAACAGTTTTTATTCATGACTACTCTTTTGTGTATCAGCTGCATGAGATACAATGATTTTAGTTTCTTAAATACATAAAACATTTCATTAGCATGCATGGTGAAGGTCCATGTTGCTTGATATATGTACATTATCCATTGCACATGGTTTATTACACAAGAAGAAAATATACATGACAGTCAAATGTACATACAATCTTGCCTGCCAATAAAGATCTAGCTACTGTTTGATGATTTAAAAAGTAGAAAAAAATGAATAAAACTCCCAAGCTTTAGACAAAAATAGGCTAATAAATCACAAAGGCGTAAATAAAAGTTTCATAGCTAAGGCTCATTAACAAATATACCCAGCAGTTTTTATAACTTAGTTTTTGCAAGGCAAAATTAAGAACAAAAAAGGGTTTTGTGTATAGCTGTGAATATAAAATGTCACAAGCAGAGAAAAGACAGTTGCTGCATTACATGGCTACTAACTATGATGACTCAAAGAAATGTTTTCTAATAATAATTCTTCGCCTGTGAATTAAGTTCAATACAATGCACAAATAGACTTTATAAGCTATTCCGACAAAACTATTTTTGAGAATAGATTTTAAATTAAATAAGTTAAGAGGAAATATTCTATGTACCTGGGGAAACTCAAAATCTATAATAAACAAAATGGCATGAGCTTAACAGGATAGAAATGACAATGAAGACGAAATGAATACAATATTTATTCTATATCCCTATGTTACATTTTAATGACAGAGGAAAGATATGTCATAACAGTCGTGAGATTACATTGTTACTATGATGACCTTTAAGAAATGTTTGCTAACAAGTCTATCAATAAAAAGTCTATGACTGTCTTCTTTTGCTCATACAGTCATACCTGTGACTAAATGTCTCGTCACAAAACAATGATTAATTTTTTTGGTTAACAACATTTCTTTCAATGATTAGCAAAACAATATCTTTCTCTTTTATACATTATTACTGATAGTATCAATGGCTGTTTAAAGCTATTCAAATACTTACCAAGATGCATACTACATATATTTCCTATGTAAAAATGTTTATTTTTAATGTACATACAATCTTGGCTGCCAATATTTTTCTAAGAGGCAGAAAGCTCTAGCTACTGTTTGATGATTTAAAAAGTAGGAAAAAAAAAAGAACTAATCAGTATTTTGTGTATAGCTGTGAACATAACATGTCACAAGCAGAGAAAAGACAGTTGCTGGATTACATGGCTACTAACTATGATGAGTCAAAGAAATGTTTTCTAATAATAAAAAAGTTCATCACAGTCGACTTTTACAAATATGTGTGACTTATGTCTGTGCAGACACATTTCTTTGAAGCATTTTACTCAGCTGTTATAAAGAGAAACGAAACGACCTTTTCCTTTGTTACCCTCAATCTCTCAGTTTTAAATTCTGTAAAAGCAAGGCCATTTTAATATTTACATCCTTGCACATAGAACACAATATGAATCAATTCGAGAAGAGTTCATTGTTTCGTTTGCCCAAGTCCATTATATACAATTGGTACATGAAATAAAGCAGTCCTTGCCGAGACTCATATCATTCATCGACATCGTACTGTATGACACAGAATTTACGGGTTGATTTTCTTGAGAAAAGTATAAAATATATGCTACAATTTAATCCGGTTACCATGTCACCGTGAATCGTTCGTTAAATTTTCTTTTCGCATCATCAACATCCGTAAAAACGACAATAGTTTGCCATATTTTAAGATTTTAACATAAGCCAAGAGATTTTTCTTGATTTTGAAGTCATTTTCTAGTTCACTTGCCCGCCATTACAAAGCATAAATTGATTAAACTTTATGTCTTTTAACGTAAACAACACTCCACGCAATTTCCACGCAAGTTAACAACGCAGTTACTTAACTATCCGACAAACTACGTTTTGTGCAACGCAGTTAAGTCAAGCAGTTAAGTTACTATAGTTAAGGAGTTAACTACGGTAGTTAGCGTTAAATATAGTTAAAGTTAACTACGTTTTTATACAACCGGCCCCTGAGATCCAACCAATCAACCAATCAATCAATCAATCAAAGAGACTTTTCAAATCAACTTGTTTTCAATGTTTAAAATTTGTCTGTTTAAAATTTGTCTGTAAATATCCACCTGTTTAGTATAAAATCTTCTATAATGTCGTTCTCCTCCAACTATGACGTACAAAAGAGCCGTGGGCGCACACGTCAAGAAGTTTCAGAAAGTGTCATTGCTCAATAAGCATACTTATTATACAATGAGTGATTTTGATAGCTCTTCTTTAACTAATACTAAACAAAAGAAAAGTGAAAAAAAGTTCTATATATTTAAACAGTCTGGGCAGCACTTTGCAAAAAACTAAGGGGTTTTTACCTTTTGGAATAAAATCTTGTCGTATCTTTAACTAGAACATTGAAGGTAAACCAGACTATAAAATTCGGGGTTTTCCTATAACGGCATTTGATTAGATAAATAATGCGTTACTGCCACGAAGTCCTTCCCTTGCGAAAATTTCACATTTGATTTCACATATGAAATTGGAATTTCATATATTAAATAGACATTTCATATATGAAATGTTTCAATTTCACATAAGTTTTACATACCATTTCATATATAAAGTCAGATGTGAAATTTTTTTAAGGGTTGAACCACCCAAAATTTTTTTTGATCATTTCACGCGCGAGCGTCATCAATGAAATGTTAATGCGACATGACGCTCTTACATATTATGCCGTGAATTTCGTTTTACTATGTGATGGTAACTATTATAATTGGTAATTATAATCAAACAGTGTTCTGGTCGTCTTGCTTAAAAGAAAAAAGCACGATTTCAACCAGATCGACCTTTTTCGTTTTTTATTAGTTTCTGGACCGATTTTTTAGACATATTTCGCAAAAGATGGACAGCATCGCATTTCTCTTCACACGAATGCGTGCCCATGGAAACGGTGATTTTTGTAGAAGAAGTAACGCTCAGCGACCTCTTCCGTAGCTAAATAGATTTGTGCAACTAGTTCGTTAGATACTCAAATTACATCTTTATAGCACGCACTTTTTGTCGAAGCTCTGTAATACAAAGTACAAATGAGCAAGATATAACGGTATATCTTGTCTCTTCATGTTTCAATTGATTTTGCTCGAGTGGCAGAGATTTTGGAAATTCGCTTTAGTAAAATATATAAAAGATTATTTGAACTGGTTTTTTTTTGTAATAAGAATTAAGCTAAACGCTGACTAGAAACCTTAAAAAAAAGCCCTACCAGCTTTTGTAAATATTTAATGACTTACAAATAATGCTCAATTATGTAGTTTCAAGTATTCCAATGTTTTCTTTAACTTTTCTGTTATAAATGTAAGTCATGTGTATATTTTTCTTATGAATGGTTATAGATTGACATCAACATTAAGAACAATATTTGGATCAAGATTAGGATCAAGTTGACTACAGCTTCCTTCTTATCGTTTTCATAAGCTTGAGTGCTTACATTCATTAAGACTTACATTCACCTGATGTTTTCTACAACTTTTCTAAATTGCCTTATGAGCCATTTACATTAGTCCTATGAATAATTACAGATTAGGATCAAGATTAGAAATGAGATAAGGATGAAGATTAGGACGACGATAACCTCAATTTCTCATTTATTGCTTTTAACAGCTTGAATGCCTCCTGTCTCAACATCTTTTTACTCCAAAAGAATAAGATGGAGTTCATCAAGGAATTTAAAAATGCGAGAGTTTTGAGCCAAATTCGAATAAGCGAAAGATCATTTCTTTGCACGCGTCCTTTAAAGAACAAGTATACAAATGATGGAATTGGAATCAGAAAAAAAAAACAAGCTACAACCACTACACATGATTTTGCATGTTTAATTTGTTGAATGAACAGCTTCCTTCTACTCGTCTTGATTTTCTCTACTGGACTACATGAAGTTATACTGGACCGAGCCAACTTTTTTACTACCAAGAAGATACAAGAGTATGCAAAGATAGCGTACCCAGAAATAATCATGACCTTCACAAGATTGTACAATACTGTTTCTCTATGGTGAAATTTTGTTAAAAATAAAGTTTTCATGAAACATTCGATGACCCCAGCAAAACATACACCAACCTAAAGGAAAATTGAAGTCTTAGAGTTATGAAGGTATGTTACGTAAAAAGAATGAACACCTCATTTTTAGGGATTAAAGATAACGAACTAATCGGAAACAAATCGGCTTTTCCCGTGAAGAGATGTATGCCTAACAACGGCAACTTGCGGTCGAGACAAATTAAAACTTTTCTACACAGGGTTGTACTTGTCCTTCCACCTACCATCAACTTCTTTCTGGTGACAATGCTGCCATAGTGCAAAGGATGCAAGAGAGCAACGTATCGCTCCCATGTGAGAGCAAGTAAGTTGACACTAGATAAGCCCAGCGTAAAATAAGTTGCAAACATAGTGATGACGTAGACAACACAGTCAACCATTCCATGAATTACATTTATAAGGTGAACGAGAAATAATGGCATAGCCAGAAGACTACACATCAAGTCGACGATTGATTGCAGAAAAACGATGAAGTAGCACGGCTTTCCCATCAAGTAAGACGATCTAAAGATTGTCACAATCGCAAGTCCATTAAGGAACACAGTAGCAACAAGCAAAACGCTGTTGAACATTATAACAAACACTTGGCTGATATAAAATCTTTCTGAAGGCATCTTTTTCAGCACAACAGTTAAACCAAAGCTACAAATGTTGTCGACATGATCAGTTGAAGAGTTCATCACGTTTATCGTGACGCGTTATCTAGCTTTCTGGCAATTTGCATTTGCTCTACAGTCATTAAAACGAAGCAAATATGTGCTAAAGGAAGTGCGCGGAATTTGGAATGCAGAGCAGCAGAATAATTGATTTGAAATGAGTCCGGAAAAGAGAAATAAAGGGAAATCATTTCGTGTGATATGTAAAATAACTTCCTGTCTTTGCCAAACAGATCTCAATGAAAGTATTCAACAAACAGTCAATTCCAAGAACTTATGAGGTTTCTCAATATCGACATATGTTTGTGAAATTCACATTTCACCTCATCCTCGTTCAAACAAACACTATGTTCCAGCTGTAATGAAGTAGCAATTACATGAGCGTCTGTAGTAATGTGTAATGTTACACAGTGTAACGTAGTTACACAGTGTAATGTAGTAATGTGTAATGTTAACATTCGACAACTTTTACAAGACGTTTTTGTCACTGAGCGTCCAAAGTACGGATATTTTGCATTTAAAAGATCATTGAGGTGTTAAGCAGGAATTCGCAATATATTTAAACATCCAATATTATCTTATTACGATGTAAAAACCTTATTAATAATGTACTCATACAATTTTTGCAACACAGCTTAAACAGCTGGCTTGAGTCTACGGGAGTGTATTTCTGTGTGATTGGAGACATATTTTTCAATTCATTTTCATCATAATAGAATTGAAAATCAAAAGGTTGGTTTGATAAGTCAAAAGTTTAGAGAACAAGCAAAAATTTTGTTCTTGGACGATGAGATCAGTAAGACTCGTTAATCCTGCCTCTATATTTAACAACGCGCTAAACGGCAATTATAAGGCTAAGCTATAAGCTGCTGGCAAGCTTTTGCGGCTTTATCGAAAAAGCTGAAATTACAAAAGGTCGGTAAAGGTCGGCAATTTCAAAATTTTAACAAAAAGATCAATTTGCTTTCGTAAAGTAAATTTTCAATTATTTCAGTAAATAATTAAAACATACTGTTAATGCATTGTGCAAATAAACATGAAATATCAACGAATTGTAATGAAATCTTCTATAGTTTGAACTTGAAAGGCAAAATTACAGGTCCGCAATGCTGAATTAGCTATAAAAAAAATACGTATGAAATATAGTTGTTTTGCAGTCTTATTTTCATTAACCTCGACGGGTTCTATCAATGAAATCGGCATAAAACGATGAATCGGCAGTTTATTGATTTTTAACATATTTAACATTATATAACGAGTTCCTTACAGTTACTACAAGCAAAGAAAATGAAATGGAAATCAGCGAAGCAAGCTTGTACGTCAATATCAGACACTCCTCCTTGAAATTGTTTACATTTTATCTTTCAGCGTAGCTGTAATTAAAACAGTTAGTTTGATTGGTACGTAGCAAATCTTCAGCCATTCTTCGGAACACATCTAATTTTCATTCCGAGCCAAATAGCGTCAACACAATGACGTATTCCAGTTTATAGAATGCAGTCACTAAAGCAATATAATTAGCATATTCTAAGAGACAGATGACAGCATGCAAAAAGACATTCATATGAAGAAGCTGAATTGAATGAAAATTAAAATTCGTTTAATAATATAGCTTTCTACAGCAGCATAGCGACATTTGCCTTCTTCAAACCTGTTGTTCTTCATCCATCTGATGCAGTACTTTGGCCGGCCAAACTGATATGTCCAACACCATGAAATAGAAACCCACAGTTAGCACTCGGAAACAACGAGCTGAAACCGAATAAGTTACATTAATAGCTCATATGCCTTATTAATTTTTATTCGGAATGCACGTTGTGCATTGTGGTCTTAGTAGTCACGCTACTACGGTGAACAATATTTGTGGATGTTGATGTGGAGCTGTTCTTTGTCGTCATTCAGAGGTAACTCAAACAAATAAAAGCCGTTGTTCTTTTCAGAACTCTTGTTTCAAAACTCTTGAAAAATTACAACAAAGTTTCCTTGCCTTCGTCAACGTTCTGAAATTCCCTTGCCATCAATTTCAGATGTAACCAACTCTTAAATACCCGTGCAACAGTTCTGATAAGAGCTAGCATTTTATTTGTTTGAGTTACCTCTGAAGACAAATAACAGACAAAATAATAAAGACAAGTAACAGCTCAACATCAGCGTTCACAATAGCCATGTTGTTGTTTACCGTACGAGCGTGACTACTAAGACCACAATGCACAGCGCGCATTCTAAGTAGGCAGGGGCCGCGGAAGTATCTCAAAAGTGGGGGTGCACTGACCGAAAAGGGCATGTGAGTTTGCAGCTTACTGTTTTAGTATATTACAGATATGCATTGTTTCATGAATCATGATTAAGTTTCAAAGTCTGCAAAATATTGGTAGACATTCTTAGAATGCTATGCGTATTCTCTACTGCTCGGCGTGCGTGCTAAGATGACTACATAAACAATTTTACTAAGTAATGCGATCTCATTGAAATTTCCCAAAAAATCTAACCCTACGTTCGTTTTTGAGAACAAAGTCCTTAGCTATTAAACGTAAGTCCAGTTCGTCAGTTCTGGCCTTGTTTACATGCATAACAATAAGATTATTGTAGCGTGCTGCCGTCATTGTGCTCCTGAGAAAGTGTCTTGACAAGCCGCTGGCATGAAAAAGATCGTTCTCCAGAGGCTGCGCTCATTGAAGCAAGAAAGTAAATCTGCAAGAGTCGGACAACATTAGACATTGCCATGACAATCTGCGATGAGATATTTTCTTCGGTTGAGAATATTGATGTTATGGTGTCAATTGATGTCGCCTTCTTTCCATCTGGAAGTCGCTGCGAGATAATTTCTTCAAGAAGCTTTAACTCCGCCTTCAGCTGGTCAAAGTCGAGGTCATTTTCGTAAAGGTGTTCAACCTCATCATTCAACTCAAACTTACACCCGTTTGCTGCATTAATGAGCACGGTTTCGATGTTCATCAATACAGAATATGTTTTTCGATCGAAGCGCTCCTGAAGTGAAGCCAAGCACGCATCAATTGCTTCAACATACTGGGCACGGTGGGCGTCTTTAGCAGTTTGGAAATGATGTTGCTCGCCATCTCCGTGTTGAAGTCGCCACGGAACTTTCTTCGGTCTTGGTTGTGTTGGATCGCCTAGAAAGTTGATAGCCTTGCTTGAAGCAACTACTTGGTCGTAAAACAAAGAGAAGTTGTCTCGTTGACGCTGCAAGTTTGTCTTCAAGGCATTTATGCAAGTAACAGTTGTTTGTGACGTTATTGAAGGCTTCTGCAAGGTAGTTGCTACTTGTTCACATACACCAACTCTTGCACCTCCTTCATTATATCGCTGATAATCCAGCTCTCCTTTACACAATCACGCAAAGCCAAGTCAAGACTTGGTTACCGCAATGAATGTACAGGGCGTGAGGATTCTCAGAAGATATTCGGGCAGCAACCCCACTTCTGCCTCCAGCCATATTTGCTGCTCCATCATATGTTTGCCATCGACAGTCGTCTATCGTCAAACTGCATTGCAACAAAATGTCCTTCCGCGAAGTGGTGATTGTTTCAGCATCGGTTTTCTCTAGCTCGTACATTCCGAGGAAATCTTCGTGGACGGACAAGTCGGTTCTAGATATCCAGCGCAAAATACATGTTAGTTGTTCCTTGTTGCTTATGTCTCTAGACTCGTCTGCAGTTAGGCTAAATAATTGTGATTCCTTACGGATGTCTGCCACTATAGATCTCAGGACTGCATTGCCCATCATATTAATCAACTCGTTTATGATGTCGTGACTGAGATATCTTCCGTTGTCAATCCACTACAACAAATTAGGTACATCCTCCGCTCTTAATTGCTAAAGTTGCTAAAACTGTTGCAAGTTACTCTCAAGTTCAGTTTTAACTTTCAAACTTTGGGCTTGGCGTGCCAAATACCTTATACTACTTAGTTGTTTTAGCAACATTCTTCTTCGAGTTTCCTGAGTTTTCTTCAATTCACTGACCAATATCGCTCCAATATCTCTTCTCGAATCATCAGATAATAAAACTGTCTCAGTCGACTCTGCGTGAAATTTAGAGTGAGAGTGTTTTTTAAGTTGTTCTCGGCACTTCTTGTAGAGTCAGATTCGCCGAATTTTGGTTTGGAATGAGAATAAGGAGATAAACACTTTGATGGAGTTTCTGTAGCTGATGGCAGTGTGAAATTAGACCTAGAGTCGATGTTTTGGTCAACAACGTTCTCTGCTGGAGCACTACTAAAAAACTCGTCAGTTTTCGCATCCTTTTAGCTTTTTCTACAAGCTCTTTTTCCTTTTCTCGTTTTCGCCTAGCAGCTCTAGGCATGATGATTTTGATTAGAAGTGATTTAAACCGCAAAATTTTCAATTATTATGAATATGAATTGTCAACAGTTTTGTAGGACCAATGGCCTGAAAGACAATACGACGGGAGCAATGCGTTGCCGTAGAATATATAGTCTCATGTGGATCATAAATTGGTTAATTAAGTTACTGGGCGGACGTCTGCGAAGACAACCCCAATCGACAAACGCGATTTTTGATCCATCTGGGTAATCAAGATCAAAAACTAAGCTATAGCTGATTTCGCATGATGCCGACAGACTTTGTTCTACTCTCGGGGCTACTTGTATCTAAGAAAAACTTCTTCAGTCCAATTTTACCTAAGACAAGGGCATTTCTACACCATGAAAAAGGACACTTTCATTCCAGAAAAAGGGCAAAAAGTGGGGGGGCACTTGCCCCCAATCCCCCCTCGGTTCCGCGGCCTCTGTAAGTAGGTAATATGTTCTATTTGCAGAGTACGTTTTTATAGTCTCCTCACCACAACAAATATATTTCTATTTCATTGACAACAAACCAAATTGCAAAGTTGTACCATATTTAAGTATTAATAGGGTGCTGATACGTCGATCCTTCTTTCGTGATTTCATTTCCCATTGATGTGCTTTAATTTTTACATATTTTTTAAATTTTTTTATTTCTGCATTCCGCATGCGAAGCGCTAT